CCGTTGGGGAGAGCTGTCTAGGGCTGGCGTAGCTATCTTTGATCTTGACTTTGATGCTATCCTTGCTGCCATGTATGCTGTGACTCTTAGTGAGGAGGGTGACTGTTACCGGTGTTTCCCGCCCGACCCGGGCATTGGTACTGCTGCGCTAGGTACTTCTGCGGCTGCTGCTCTAGGTGCCAGTGCGTCAGCACTCTCAGGTACTGGTGAGGCTGCGCTCTCAGGTACTGCGTCGGCTTCGGCCTCCCTCACCTTCACGCTTGACTCAGGGGCTTCTCGCTCCTTCTTTCGAGACCGCACCACACTCACGCCGCTTGGCCGGCCGGTTGCAGTCTCCCTGGCTGACCCCTCTGGGGGTCCTGTCCTCTCTCACTTCTCCACTGTCCTCCCGTGTCCGGCTGCCCCCTCGGGCACCTTGTCTGGTCTGTACCTCCCCTCGTTCTCGACGAACTTGGTGAGTGGTGCTGACCTGCAGGATGCGGGGGTTCACCAGTTTACTCCTGCGAGTCAGCGGGTGACCCACTGCTCGGACGCCCGCACAGGCCGACACCTGGCCACGTTTTCGCGTCGGCCGGGGTCGAGTCTCTACACCCTGACCACTGAGTCTCCTCCTGTCCCTGCGTCTGGCCAGGTAGCTGCGTCGGGTCAGGTGTTTGCTGCTGCGTCCAGGTCTGGTCCTGAGTCTGCCCCCAGCTCGTGTCGCCGCCTGTCTCAGGAGACTCTCCTGTGGCACCACCGTCTTGGCCACCCCTCCTTGCCTCGTCTTCGGGGCATGGCTTCCCGTGTCCTTGTCTCTGGTCTTCCCCGGTCTCTCCCTCCCCTTCCTTCGGGACCCGGACCTTCTTGTGTCCCCTGTGTCGAGGGGCGGCTCCGGGCTGCCCCTCACTCCTCCCAGTTTCCCCCGACAGAGGCTCCTCTGCAGACGCTTCACATGGACGTGTGGGGCCCGGCCCGCGTCCGTGGGCAGGGTCACGAGCGCTACTTCCTGCTGGTGGTTGACGACTACTCGCGTTACACCACAGTCTTCCCCTTGCGCAGCAAGGGTGATGTCACTGAGGTGTTGATCGACTGGATCCGCGCAGCTCGTCTCCAGCTCAGGAGGAGCTTCGGCTCGGACTTTCCTGTTCTGCGTCTGCACTCTGACCGAGGTGGAGAGTTCTCCTCTGGCCTTCTGCGAGCCTACTGTCGTGCACGAGGCATCCGCCAGACCTTTACGCTTCCGGACTCTCCACAGCAAAATGGGATTGCTGAGCGCCGCATTGGCATGGTCATGGACGTCGCTCGTACGTCCATGATGCATGCGGCTGCCCCCCATTTTCTGTGGCCGTTTGCGGTTCGGTACGCGGCGCATCAGATCAACCTTCACCCCAGGGTCTCCCAGCCGGAGACCTCCCCAGCTCTGCTGTGGACGGGGAAGGTCGGCGATGCGTCTGCGTTCCGTGTCTGGGGATCTCGGGCGTTTGTCCGCGACTTGTCTGCGGACAAGCTGTCCCCTCGTGCTGCTCCCTGTGTCTTCCTCGGCTTCCCCCCTGACGCCCCAGGGTGGCAGTTCTACCACCCCTCCTCTCGTCGTGTTCTGTCCTCCCAGGACGTCACGTTCGACGAGTCAGTCCCCTTCTACCGCCTCTTCCCCTACCGCACTCCTTCCCTCCCCCCGCCACCGCACTTCCTTGTGCCAGGTCCCCCCCCGGTAGACCCCCTTCCCCCTCAGGGTCCTGCCCCTTCAGGTGTGTCCCAGGTAGACGCAGTCGAGCCGGTCGAGGTTGCTGGTGACTCTGGTCCTGCTGCGGGTGCTGAGCCTGGGGGTGCTGACTCTGGGGGTGCTACGCGCGTGGGTGCTGAGCCTGGGGGTGCTGAGCCTGGGGGTGCTGAGTCTGGGGGTGCTGAGCCTGGGGGTACTGCGACTGGGGGTGCTGGGCCTGGGGGTGCGGAGTCTGGGGGTGCTGCGCCTGGGGGTGCTGCGACTGGGGGTGCTGAGCCAGGGGGTGCTGCGTCTGGAGCTGCTGAGCCTGGAGCTACGGAGCCTGCGGCCACTAGACCTCCCCTTGTGGCGTCTGGCGGTGCGGGACCTGGCGGTTCTCCGGGTGCTTCGCCTCGGCGGGAGCCCCTCTCTCCACAGGAGCTGCGCGAGTGGTTTGCTCGCCGCTGGAGACGTTCTGCTGGAGCTGGAGCTCCTTCGGCTGCTGAGGGTACTTGTGCCGCTGGTCCCGGAGCTGCTGGGCCCTCGGGTCCGCCTGGAGCTGGAGCTGCTGCGGGTGTTGGTGCTGAGACTGCTGCTGTCCTTCCTGGCGGTGGTCCTGCTGCGGGTGCTGCTGGTGCTGCTGGAGGTCCTGCCGCTGGAGGTGCTGTTGGCGCTGGTACTGCTGCTGAGGGTGCTGTCCCTGCTGTGTCTGGAGTCGCCGCGCGGCCTCGGCCGTACTTCGTTCCACTCCTACAGCAGGTTCTTGGTCATTCTCCTCCTGCAGCGTGTCCACCGCCTGTTCAGTCACAGTCCCAGTTAGAGCCCGCCTCCCCACTTCCTGCTCCCTCTCCTTACACTGGTCCCACTGGAGGTCTTGCTGAGCGTCGTGAGCCTGCGTCTCGTCCTGCGTCGCCTGTTCGTGCTGCTCGCGCTAGTGGTCGCGGTTCGCGTCAGCGTCCTCCTCCTGTCCCTGGCACGCACCGGATGTCTTTGCGTCCGTCCACTGCTCCTCTGCGTGCCCCTTTGCCTTCTCCTCCTGAGTCCTCTCTTCCTGCACTTACCGACCCAGATTCCGACTCTCTTCGTGCTACCAGTCCTACTGTCACACGTCTCCTTGCTACTGTCGTCACTGACCCCTCTTTTGAGTCCACTACTGCGTCTGCTCTTGTTGCTGAGCTCGTCGACTTTGCTGCTCGCTGTCGTCTCGACTACGCTGCCGGTCTTGTTGCTGAGTCTGCGTCTGTCTGTCCTCCGTCCGTCGGGGGTGAGTGTGCTCTTGGCACGGACGTCCTTGAGGACAGGCAGGAGGAGTTCCAGTGTCTGGCTGCTGCTTCACCTCATCTCGCGTCCGTACTACTTGCCCCTGAGGGAGACCCGGATGCACTAGACATCCCGACTCCGCGCTCTTACGCGGAGGCCGTAGAGGGTCCCTACTCCTCTCAGTGGCAGGCAGCTATGGATGCAGAGATGGCGTCCTGGAAGTCCACAGGCACCTACGTTGACGCGGTTCCCCCTCCTGGGGCGAACATCGTCAGTGGCATGTGGATCTTCAGGGTGAAGCGGCCGCCGGGCTCTCCACCTGTCTTCAAGGCGCGGTACGTCGCTCGTGGCTTCAGTCAGCGGCAGGGAGTTGACTACTTTCAGACCTTCTCTCCCACCCCGAAGATGACCACTCTTCGGGTGCTGCTGCACATAGCCGCTCAGCGCGACTACGAGCTCCACTCTCTTGACTTTAGCACTGCTTTCTTGCAGGGTAGCCTGCACGAGGAGATCTGGCTGCGCCGTCCACCTGGCTTCACTGGGACTTTCCCTACTGGCACCCAGTGGAGCCTCCGACGGCCAGTCTACGGTCTCCGCCAGGCACCGCGTGAGTGGCACGACACACTGAGGACTACGCTTGCGGCTCTTGGGTTTGCTCCCTCTACTGCTGACCCGTCGTTGTTTCTGCGCACCGACACTTCTTTGCCGCCGTTCTACACCCTCGTGTACGTCGACGACTTGGTCTTTGCCACAGCTGACACTGCTGGACTAGCCTACGTGAAGTCCGAGCTGCAGAAGAGACACACGTGCACAGACCTGGGTGAACTGCGCAGCTACCTTGGCTTGCAGATCACTCGGGACAGAGCACGCCGCACCATTACCTTGACTCAGTCACACATGGTGCAGCAGGTCCTTCAGCGCTTCGGCTTCACGTACTCCTCGCCTCAGGCCACTCCTCTGTCTACTCGCCACTCGCTCTCAGCTCTGCCTTCGGATGAGTCCGTAGAGTCGAGTGGCCCGTACCCAGAGCTTGTTGGCTGCCTCATGTACCTGATGACCTGCACACGACCTGACCTTGCATACCCTCTTAGCATTCTTGCACGCTATGTTGCTCCTGGGAGACACCGACCAGAGCACATGGCTGCAGCGAAGAGGGTGTTGCGCTACTTGTGCAGTACGTCGGGCATGGGGCTAGTGCTTGGAGGGCGGAGTCCAGTGGTCCTCACTGGGCACGCGGACGCTTCTTGGGCTGACGACCAGGCTACGCAGCGGTCGTCGCAGGGTTACACCTTCAGTCTTGGTTCCGGCTCTGTCTCGTGGCGGGCTACTCGCTCGTCCTCTGTTCTCGGCTCCAGTTGTGAGGCTGAGATCTACGCCGGGGCCATGGCTGCACAGGAACTTCGTTGGCTCACCTACCTGCTGACTGACCTTGGAGAGCCGCCTCGTTCTCCTCCAGTGCTGTACGTAGATAACAAGGCCATGCTGGCCTTGTGTCGAGAGCAGCGCTTGGAGCACAGAACGAAGCACATTGCTCTCCGTTACTTTCTTGCTCGTGAGCTGCAGCAGCGTGGTCAGTTGCGACTTGCGTACGTGGCCTCTGAGGCCAACACTGCTGATGTGTTCACCAAGGCACTTGCGCCTTGTGACCATCAGCGCTTCTGCACTCAGCTGGGTCTTGTACCTGTCTTGCCTCACTTGCTCTCCTCTTGACCTTGCTTGTACTGTCACATATATATACCTGCTCTTGCTTGTCTAGCTCTATATATATATATGTGCACTCCTGCATGTGAACTGGCCTTGTGGCCTTGTCGTTGTGCTCGGACTGTGTGGTGACTTTGTGATCCACCCTGAGCTTGCTGTGCTTTGAGTGACTGGTCTTGTGACCCCTTGTTCTCCCCCACTTTGCCTATGGGGGTGTGTCAGAACATATTTATAGCTTATGCTGTTGTGTAGGCTATAGTGGGGTATCCCACAGGGGGTACAACCCAATTAGGGTTTCCTATATGTACTCACTTCATTCATAGTTCATTCATCCTTGTTCAAATCTTCTCACATAGCCATGTCCCGGCTATGCGAGGTGAGGAGTGGGCTGGCGGCGATGGTGCTCAGCGACGAGTGGAAGGTGTGGGCAGCGGGGGACAAGGATAGGAAGACTGCAGCCGAGAAATTCAGGGCTGCCGTGATGGATGAGGAGTGGTGGGGGGTGGCGGCGTTCTTTACCTCTCTCATGGAGGAGCCATTCAAGGCCATGCGGGCCACGGACTCTTCCGCGAAAGGCATGATGGGTAAGCTGTATGACATGCTACAGCTTACCGAGGACATCAATGACAAGCTCGACAATGCAGGCGACTTCTTGACTCGGGTAGAGAGAGCAGACATCACACGCATTGTGAAGGAAGGGGGAGATGAGCATGGTGCAGTGGTGGTCGTGGCACAGCACCGAGTACCCTGAGCTTGCCACCCTCGCATGCCGGGTGCTACTCAGCCCGTCTCGGCTTCCCCATACGAACGTGGCTGGGCGCAGTGGGAAGGCGTCCACACCGCCCGCCGCATCCGGCTCGGGTCCGCCAAGTGTGCGGACCTCGTTTACATTGCGCACAACTAGAACGTTGTGCGCAATTGGTACAACAAGGATGGGGGCAGCACGGTTGTGCCCGGTAACATCCCGGATGCCCCTATCCTTCGCGGCTACAACATGGACGCGGAGGAGGATGACATGCTGGGAGCGGAAGGAGAGGATGCAGTTCAGGCGGATGAGTATGGGGAAGGGGTGGTGGTGGAAAAGCCCCGCAAGGAAATAGGTTTTGGGGAAGCTTGCTAGGGGGTGGGGATTATGTGGATGATGTGGAGAAGTAGCCCCAACTATGTATTTCTGGATATTTATGAAATAAAAAATTGACATGTGTTTTTGTGAGCCTTAACCCCCCCCCTGAAACAGGTTTTTTTTATCTCTGCCCAGGAAAAAAAGTTTTATCTGCCCGCCAGCGTATTTTTGCGTATCAGCAGTACGCCAGCATTGGCGTACCGCGTATATACCTAGCGTATAATACGCTAACGTATAATACTCGATACTCGTATTTTCCAACGTAGACTAGCATTTCCCATCGTTTTTACGTGGTTCTATATATTTGTATTCTTGGATGAGTATTATCCAATCTTGTCTCGACAAGATAGAAGCTTTGCTGACAGAACCGCGTAGAAGAATCTCGACCAGCAGGAGATTTACCTACAGCACGTGTTTGTGATTAAGAAACACCACGTGATAAAAGTTGAGTTTTGAGACGTCTCAAAACTCAACTTTTATCTTTTGCCTTCAGGACGTGTTTGTGATTAGGAATCGTCTAGGGATGGAGGGGGGTACATGTCGCCTAGCATTCTGCTGCTGTTAACGTTCACTCTTGTAGGCACGAACATTCTTGAATGTGGCTGTTATCTAAGCTTGGAGACACCTCTCGCCATGACAAACGAATTCAGCTTGAGTGCCTACTAGAGGAGTGCATCGACAAATGAACCTGCCTAGTGCAATAGATTTTCGAAATCGCCACATGTATACCAGAGCATAAGTACTTTCAGCGCTCTTTGCCACGAGCTCTACCTACCTCAATTAAGATAACCATCACCACAGAAACGAGCACTGCGGAGATAACTTACACAACAGGAGCTAGACTACGTGAAGGCACGGGTGTGTGAGGGTGATCTCTGCGTTCCTTAACGGTTTGCTTGTGTGTTCTCTACTTGCTCATTCACGGAGGAAATTGGTAAGAGTTTCACTAGCAAAAGTTCACAATGGTACACAAAGCAAAGCAACAATGGACTACATCAGATGCTAGCAAGCATGCAGGCTGACTGCCAGCGCAGCACGGTCGACCGCGTTCCAGCACTGCATGGTCGACCGCGCTCCAGCTGTGCAAAGTCGCGGTCTGCCAACGCTGCAAGTCGACGACGTGCCAATGCTGCAGCAGTGTGGCTGCACAGCGTTGCACCCGCAGGACAGTAGTGCACCTGCTTCGCAGGTGCTTGAGGCTGATTGGCGTGCTGTGCTTCGTCACCTGCACAGCGCAGACACCAAGCTGACCATGTGCCCACGGCTGCACCTGATCATCCACGTCGACCTCGGGATACCATGAGAAGAGGAGAAAGCGAATGAATGAACTATGAATGAAGTGAGTACATATAGGAAACCCTAATTGGGTTGTACCCCCTATGGGATACCCCACTATAGCCTACACAACAGCATAAGCTATATATATGTTCTGACACACCCCCATAGGCAAAGTGGGGGAGAACAAGGGGTCACAAGACCAGTCACGCAAAGCACAGCAAGCTCAGGGTGGATCACAAAGTCACCACACAGTCCGAGCACAACGACAAGGCCACAAGGCCAGTTCACATGCAGGAGTGCACACATATATATATAGAGCTAGACAAGCAAGAGCAGGTATATATATGTGACAGTACAAGCAAGGTCAAGAGGAGAGCAAGTGAGGCAAGACAGGTACAAGACCTAGCTGAGTGCAGAAGCGCTGATGGTCACAAGGCGCAAGTGCCTTGGTGAACACATCAGCAGTGTTGGCCTCAGAGGCCACGTACGCAAGTCGCAACTGACCACGCTGCTGCAGCTCACGAGCAAGAAAGTAACGGAGAGCAATGTGCTTCGTTCTGTGCTCCAAGCGCTGCTCTCGACACAAGGCCAGCATGGCCTTGTTGTCTACGTACAGCACTGGAGGAGAACGAGGCGGCTCTCCAAGGTCAGTCAGCAGGTAGGTGAGCCAGCGAAGCTCCTGTGCAGCCATGGCCCCGGCGTAGATCTCAGCCTCACAACTGGAGCCGAGAACAGAGGACGAGCGTGTAGCCCCACGAGACAGAGCCGGAACCAAGACTGAAGGTGTAACCCTGCGACGACCGCTGCGTAGCCTGGTCGTCAGCCCAAGAAGCGTCCGCGTGCCCAGTGAGGACCACTGGACTCCGCCCTCCAAGCACTAGCCCCATGCCCGATGTACTGCACAAGTAGCGCAACACCCTCTTCGCTGCAGCCATGTGCTCTGGTCGGTGTCTCCCAGGAGCAACATAGCGTGCAAGAATGCTAAGAGGGTATGCAAGGTCAGGTCGTGTGCAGGTCATCAGGTACATGAGGCAACCAACAAGCTCTGGGTACGGGCCACTCGACTCTACGGACTCATCCGAAGGCAGAGCTGAGAGCGAGTGGCGAGTAGACAGAGGAGTGGCCTGAGGCGAGGAGTACGTGAAGCCGAAGCGCTGAAGGACCTGCTGCACCATGTGTGACTGAGTCAAGGTAATGGTGCGGCGTGCTCTGTCCCGAGTGATCTGCAAGCCAAGGTAGCTGCGCAGTTCACCCAGGTCTGTGCACGTGTGTCTCTTCTGCAGCTCGGACTTCACGTAGGCTAGTCCAGCAGTGTCAGCTGTGGCAAAGACCAAGTCGTCGACGTACACGAGGATGTAGAACGGCGGCAAAGAAGTGTCGGTGCGCAGAAACAACGACGGGTCAGCAGTAGAGGGAGCAAACCCAAGAGCCGCAAGCGTAGTCCTCAGTGTGTCGTGCCACTCACGCGGTGCCTGGCGGAGACCGTAGACTGGCCGTCGGAGGCTCCACTGGGTGCCAGGAGGGAAAGTCCCAGTGAAGCCAGGTGGACGGCGCAGCCAGATCTCCTCGTGCAGGCTACCCTGCAAGAAAGCAGTGCTGAAGTCAAGAGAGTGGAGCTCGTAGTCGCGCTGAGCGGCTATGTGCAGTAGCACCCGAAGAGTGCTCATATTCGGGGTGGGAGAGAAGGTCTGAAAGTAGTCAACTCCCTACCGCTGACTGAAGCCACAAGCGACGTACCGCGCCTTGAAGACAGGTGGAGAGCCCGGCGGCCGCTTCACCCTGAAGATCCACATGCCACTGACGATGTTCGCCCCAGGAGGGGGAACCGCGTCAACGTAGGTGCCTGTGGACTTCCAGGACGCCATCTCTGCATCCATAGCTGCCTGCCACTGAGAGGAGTAGGGACCCTCTACGGCCTCCGCGTAAGAGCGCGGAGTCGGGATGTCTAGTGCATCCGGGTCTCCCTCAGGGGCAAGTAGTACGGACGCGAGATGAGGTGAAGCAGCAGCCAGACACTGGAACTCCTCCTGCCTGTCCTCAAGGACGTCCGTGCCAAGAGCACACTCACCCCCGACGGACGGAGGACAGACAGACGCAGACTCAGCAACAAGACCAGCAGCGTAGTCTAGACGACAGCGAGCAGCAAAGTCGACGAGCTCAGCAACAAGCGCAGACGCAGCAGTGGACTCAAAAGAGGGGTCAGTGACGACAGTAGCAAGGAGACGTGTGACAGTAGGACTAGCAGCACGAAGAGAGTCGGACTCTGGGTCGGTAAGTGCAGGAAGGGAGGACTCAGGAGGAGAAGGCAAAGGGGCACGCAGAGGAGCAGTGGACGGACGCAAAGACATCCGGTGTGTGCCAGGGACAGGAGGAGGACGCTGACGCGAACCGCGACCACTAGCGCGAGCAGCACGAACAGGCGACGCAGGACGAGACGCAGGCTCACGACGCTCAGCAAGACCTCCAGTGGGACCAGTGTAAGGAGAGGGAGCAGGAAGTGGGGAGGCGGGCTCTAACTGGGACTGTGACTGAACAGGCGGTGGACACGCTGCAGGAGGAGAAAGACCAAGAACCTGCTGTAGGAGGGGAACGAAGTACGGCCGAGGCCGCGCGGCGACTCCAGACACAGCAGGGACAGCACCCTCAGCAGCAGCACCAGCGCCAACCGCACCTCCAGCGGGAGGACCTCCAGCAGCACCAGCAGCACCCGCAGCAGGACCACCGCTAGGAAGGACAGCAGCAGTCTCAGCACCAACACCCGCAGCAGCTCCAGCTCCAGGCGAACCCGAAGGCCCAGCAGCTCCGGGACCAGCGGCACAAGTACCCTCAGCAGCCGAAGGAGCTCCAGCTCCAGCAGTACGTCTCCAGCGGCGAGCAAACCACTCGCGCAGCTCCTGTGGAGAGAGGGGCTCCCGCCGAGGCGAAGCACCCGGAGAACCGCCAGGTCCCGCACCGCCAGACACCACAAGGGGAGGTCCAGTGGCCGCAGGCTCCGCAGCTCCAGGCTCAGCAGCTCCAGACGCAGCACCCCCTGGCTCAGCACCCCCAGTCGCAGCACCCCCAGGCTCAGCACCCCCAGACTCCGCACCCCCAGGCTCAGCACCCCCAGTCGCAGTACCCCCAGGCTCAGCACCCCCAGACTCAGCACCCCCAGGCTCAGCACCCCCAGGCTCAGCACCCACGCGCGTAGCACCCCCAGAGTCAGCACCCCCAGGCTCAGCACCCGCAGCAGGACCAGAGTCACCAGCAACCTCGACCGGCTCGACTGCGTCTACCTGGGACACACCTGAAGGGGCAGGACCCTGAGGGGGAAGGGGGTCTACCGGGGGGGGACCTGGCACAAGGAAGTGCGGTGGCGGGGGGAGGGAAGGAGTGCGGTAGGGGAAGAGGCGGTAGAAGGGGACTGACTCGTCGAACGTGACGTCCTGGGAGGACAGAACACGACGAGAGGAGGGGTGGTAGAACTGCCACCCTGGGGCGTCAGGGGGGAAGCCGAGGAAGACACAGGGAGCAGCACGAGGGGACAGCTTGTCCGCAGACAAGTCGCGGACAAACGCCCGAGATCCCCAGACACGGAACGCAGACGCATCGCCGACCTTCCCCGTCCACAGCAGAGCTGGGGAGGTCTCCGGCCGGGAGACCCTGGGGTGAAGGTTGATCTGATGCGCCGCGTACCGAACCGCAAACGGCCACAGAAAATGGGGGGCAGCCGCATGCAT